CGTGATTGAGTCATCTCAATATGAAGTCAACGTGTCTAACCAAATGAAAATAATTATGGTTATAACTTACATTAGTATTATGTACAAATTCGGGATTCATTCCCAAATAGAAACGTTTCGATATTTAAATTGAATTCTTTGTTTGGCTCGATAGTTATATGACATTAAATAGAAATAAAAATAGAAACTAATAATAAATGGTTGTTTATAATAAAATATAGTTATTCTTATCGAGCCGGACTTTTTTCCACCAACTCTAAATGAGAAAAATGGGTTTGTTTGGAAGTATTTTTGCGTTTAGTGAACTCGCAGAGCTATAATATAAAAAACACCGTGTTGCGATGTATTTCTGAAGGTCGCAGTCAATACAGACGATACATTCATCACACAGAAGTTGACTTAATAATTCTAAAGGAAAAAACGATAAACCAAGCACAAATTATGTTTAGACTCCTTGTCGTACTTTTGTATGTGTTTCGCAAAATAAAAATCGCGTTCTTTGTGAGAGATATCTTTTACGTTATCATGACAAAGTTTGCATTTCTTTTGTACGACTTTAGATTAGAAAAAGGATTTAGCCGATGGCGTATATGTGTTAGAAATTGAAAAAAATAACGACGAGTTAACGTCGGGTTTCAAAACGACTGTTCTCCGGTTTGTTTATAATGAGACGTTGTTTATATGTGATACTACTTGACGATAGTTATGTTTTTTGATTTTTTAACTCCAATTGTGAATTGCTTAGTGAGACTTAAAATCGGAAAGCAATATACAATTATGTTACTTAAATATTTGTTTGTTTATCGGGTTTTTTCGTGTATTACAATACACATTTTCCCTCTTTTTTGAATAAGTGAAATTATATTTCAAAAAGTTAATTTTTTTAAAACATTTTTAAAGAAAAAACGATGTTTTTAAGTGTTAAGAGAAACAATGTTATATTCATCACATTTTGGATAAAAACTTTATGGACTGTGTGGTACAAATTGTTGTAGTCAATAAATATCATTATCATTTTTATAATTATAAAGTTGTTTTTTTAAATGTTATATATGTTGTTTTTAACATTTTATCATTATTCAAATGACTTGGTAATATCTTTATAAATGATTATCATCAATTAAACATATTTATTACTTAAAAACATTTACATTTTTTATTTAAATAAAAACATTAAAAAATTAAAAATGGAATAATCACAAACTCAAATGCCACAAACGGTTTACATAACACTACTTGGGAAACAAGGAGTTGGAAAAACTTCCACAGACAATAGATTTCATTTTGGAAAATTTATTGAACATTACAATCCACCGATTAGTACTTCCGAGATACCAAATCGCGTTTTAAAAGTTTTAGACCATGACATCAGTGTTGAAGTTTTGGATGTTGTTGGTGATGACGAATTTTCTTTTGGAGAATACGACTTTATTAAAAAGGGTGAAGGGTTTATATTGTTTTACGCCATAAATTCAAAAAAGTCATATTTGCAAGTTCAAAGCAAATATAACAAAATACTTCAAATCAAAGATATGATGGAAGAAGAACTCCCACAGAAGTATTGTCTTGTTTTATGTGGTAATAAAATTGACTTGTCTTGTGAACGAACTGTTGAAAAAGGCGATGGACAAGATTTGGCAAATAAACTTAATGCTACATTTTTCGAAGTTTCCGCTAAAACTGGTGAACGAGTTGATGAGATGTATAATCACATCGTCTATAGTGTTTTTTTGGAAAAACAAAAAGATTTTAATACCATCAAAAAGAAGAAGAAAAAATGCATTTTAATGTAAATGCAATAAGAATATATATTGTCAATGAATACATATTTCATATTCATTAATGAATTGAAATTTTTATAATTTTAATGCCCAAAGGAATTTTATTAATTATTTTCAATGTTTTTTGTAATATTATCATGTTAAATAAATATATAATGCAATATTTTGTTTAAATTAATTGAAACATAATATGCAAGAAGTAAATAAAAATATAAAATGTTATATGATTATTAAATAAAAATGTTTTTTTGATCAAATTGTTTCTCAAAATAAAACTTTCCTTTGACAAGCCTACATGGATCATATTTCAGACATGGTTGTGTCTGTTGATCTGTAAATTTTTGGTTATTGGACAACTGAGAATGATATACGGAATTGTCGAAACCAAGTCTTTACTGCAAATGCATTTCTCATCTGCTTGTTCCTTTGTGATAAGTGCCCTTCTTTGACCAACAAATGTTGCATTCTTTTCATTTTCGCCATTTGAAATTATACAAATATCTTGATGTTGCTGTTCTTCCAGGATCGTTCAGAATTGTCTTGGTCGCACTGATTGTGGTCAAACATTCTGACTAGTGTTCTTGGTGGTTTAGTGATTTAATTTTTTGAAAAAGAAGTTATCAATCTTGCTTCTGATGAACAACAAAACGGCTTTAAAGAACTTGCCTTTTATGGACTTTTCTTTCATGAATCTTTTGAGCTCCTTGTGCATCGCTTTTGCTTTAAGGTAGTTAACCACTTGCTTGAACAATATTACAGAGTTAACAAAACACGTTTTGACTAAATTTGTATTTAAAAAAAATCAAATTGTTATATGTAAAACACACAAAAATATATCTTAAATTTATTATTATTAAAAATCAAAATCACAATATCTAAAATCAACTAATTATCGGTGTCAATTCATTCATGCGTTGCACTGTGTGTGATTTGTTATGGTCGTGGTTCAAATTTTAAAATAATAATTCGAACTTTGATTTTAATTATTTTATAAATATATTGTTTCCAGTTTATGACAATTAAAATAAATAAATAAAAAGTCCATCATTATTAATTAAAACTCGACTCTGTCTCTGGTGACCTTTTTATTAGCTTCTTCTGTGACACGTTTTAAGTTGATGATTCTTCTTTTTTCTCTGAGTTCATCTAAGATGTGAAGTAAACGTCTTCCCCTTTTCATTTGTATGATATTTCCATAATCATATTCCTTAATTAAATCATTGATAACATCACCTTCCCATACAAAAGCAGTCTCCCTTTCGGGGTTGTCTTCATTCACATATCTTCCGTCCATCAAAATAAAAAGTTCGTTACACAAATCACTGTATGACTTTTCGTCGATATTGTTTGCTGCAAGCACTGTGTTTTGCACAAAGTCGTTTGGTTTCTCCGTCTTTTCTTCTTCCTTTTCCGACGCATTTCTGATCACAAACTCCGCCATTTTCCTCTCCAAAACTCGTGGAGCCTCGACACTCACCCGTTCGCTCTTTTTCACCCCAAAGAAACTTTGACTGCGAATAAATCGCTCTGTCTCTCCATTGCTTTCAAAGCAAATTGCGACTGTTCTTGTGAGTTCTTTAGTGATAGGGAGTGGCAACTTCTCGTCGTTTTCAGTCTTTTTGTCGACTTCAAGTTCATTGAAATACCTCATAGCGACGTTTCTATAAATAGAAAAGATGCCAAAAGTGTCTTTCATTTCTATTTGTGGTATTTTGATGTGCTTTGTAAAATTAGTATTCTCTGCTATTGATTGCGCCACGTGTTCAATCTCTTCAAAATTCTGTGACACCAATTTGGAGGGTGAAAAAGACTGAATTTCAGCGTCTGAAACTTCTTTGTCAAATTGGACGAGAACGTTGCAATTTTTGAGAAGAACAAATCGCTTTAGTTCACTATTTTGCTGCAAAAAAGCATCTTTCTGTAAGAAAAGTTCTTTTCTTTCTTTTTTCTTTTCATAGATAATTTCCTCAAGCACAGAAATCGTTTTGGTGTCTTCAACTTTTCTTCTTCCGCCCTTACAGTGTTTGTCGATAACACAAATTTTGTTTTCGTTTTTTCTTAAATTGGATATTTGGGTTTTTATATTATCAATGCATTTACAGAGAACTTTGTCGTTGTCCTCAAACAATTTCAAGTCTTTCAACATTAATGCTGTCTGTCTGTCAGATTTTTCGAGTTTGTAATTTTCGACTAGATCCGTGAAGAATTGAGTTCTGTTTACTTCTAAAGCTTTTTCAAGTTTCACTACACGACGAGAAATGTATCTGATGGGTTCAATCCAGTTCGCGTAGAATAAGAAAGACTCCGCCATATCATCAGTAACACCAAATGGCTTTCCTTCGTCGAGAAGTCGATAATAAAATCGGCGAACATTTCGAGTGGCCATTTTCAAGATGTAACTTTCATTACCAGATTCCTTCAATGAGTCAATCTCCGTGTTCTTGTCTTTGTGTGTGGCGTCATGTCTAGAGCGGCGTTGTTTTGGTTGTATACTCTCTTGTTGATTTGAGAAGAATGCACCCAAATTATAGAACGGAAGATTCGACTCAATGTACTTAGATTGTTGTTCAATAGGTAACGTAGCCAACAACCCCACTCCAATCTCTTTTGCATTGACCGTGCTTTGAGTTATTCTTTGTTTTTGCTTCAACCCTGTTGTTGATAGATTCGAACGGACATTCATTTGTGATCGATTAGAACGACCACGAGTTGTAGGGCGACGGACATAGTGTCTTCGTTTTATTGGTACAACTGGTTTGGCTTTCAAGTCTTTAAACGGCTTAACATAAAAAGTGCGTGTGTATTTAACAGTAGCACAACGATGATCCATTAAATGAATAATTATAGTTGAGTAACGCCTTATTATATCTTTTATTTAAAAGACTCATATATAACCTCATACTTTTTGAGGTTTTACTCTGGATGGTTTCATGCAGTCTTTTTTTATTATTTTAAATGATTTAATTTAAAGAAAATGATTTCAATTTAATATTATTCAAAATAGTAAATATATTTAAATTTGTATTATTTTATTAAATTTGATAACTTGTAGCTTTTAATGTAACTGTTTCTCAATCAATAAATACTCCAAAAGGTACAATAAAACCTCTCAAACGCAAGATAATATTGTAATTTTTGTTATCTCAAAACATGGTCCTTAAATTTAAAATAGAAGCTAAAGATTATTTTGAAACACTAAAAATGAAAACAAAGAAAAATATAAAATACTTCTCAATTTGAAGAAAAACCAAAATCTTTTTAATTCAACCTTAAACATAATAGAGTAAAAAAACATTTTATTTTAGTTTCTAATTTATAACATTTATTAATGTTTATTATTTCGAAATAAAAAACTTGATTTTTTTTAAAAAATAACCATTTTTGAAATCAATAAAACTATATATTTAAAAACGTGTATAAATTAAAACCAAAAATAAATTGGATTAAAGAAAGAAAAATGAACGTAGTAAATATGAACTAATGTGAATTTGTATATATCATTTACAAAAAAAGACATTCACAGAGCATATTGTTTACATGACCACGAAGATTATCATTGAAAAATTATTAAAGACAAAAAACGAATGAATTGATGTTGAACAGTTTTAAGGCCGGAAAACATTTTCAACAAAGTAAAAACAATAAAGATTGTGTTGAAGAAGTTAACAAAAAATCATAAGTAAAAATCAAAGAAGTTAATTTGATAGAAGAATGCAGATTACAAACAACCAATCTTGCTGTTATATTGGCAGCGAACAACATACTTAGAAAATACAAAGTTATCGCAGAAATAATCGAAATAAACGAGGAATCAATATAAAAACATGGAAATAAAATTTTGACAAAAGTGCGAAAAAGTGATTTACCATTGTTCAAAAGAGTTTTAGAATAGTTTTAGAAGTGCATCGAAAAAGTTGATAATTTGGCAACAACAGCAACACATTTGTCTATTCTTGTTGATGAATATGTGGTGAATTCAAAATCTTGATATTCATATTACATTCAAATGGTCATTACCAATATGGATATCATAATTAGAATGTTGGAAATTAATGTTTATAATAGAAAAGCAACAGTTGTTTTGTTGTCGAAAAAACAAAAGATGTATTGAAACAACACAAAACAAATCCATTAAAATAACAAGTTGGGGAATTGATAGCGCTCCTAATGAACATAGTGATGGCAGAATAAGTGGGATATTATCTAAAAAGTTTTCTAAACTACATAAAAGAACAATGTTTATCTTCCTAATATAATGTAAATGCCACTTGTAAATCTCTCGTATAGCTGAATGTTTGAAATTTAAAAGTGCGTCTTCGAATTTTTATTTGCTATTTAATGTCAGTGATTTTTTGAAAAAAATCGATATTTAGAGAAATATAAAAATGTTCGCCTTTAACTTGTTGTACAGCAAGGTGGTTATTAATGGCTGTATTATTAAAATGGGCATTAAACAACTATAAAAAATCTATAAACTGGTTGGAGAATTTATTAGAAATTTTCAAAGGATAAAAATGATATTTACATATATTTTGAAAAAGAAAAACCCTGCTCTGTAGTTTTGGGAAGTATAAAACATGTTATTTCTATTTCTATTTTTGTTGTTTTGCAATTTTAAAAAATAATGAAACCAAAAAATAACCAATGAATAAAAACGAATCATTTATTTTTTGTGTATAAAACATATTATTTCTGAAGAGAATCGCGTTTTTTTATTTATCAAACAACATACATTCAAACATTTTGTTCACATGCTACACAAAAAGTGGTCAACAACCATGGCAAATAAAATTCTCTCGCTTTCACACACATTATTTATTATATTTTTATCACAACCTTTCTCCGCATATTATAAATAATGCAATAAATGACTGTTTTGAGTTCAAAATATTTTTTTTATAGTCCAAAATTCGATTTTATTAAATCTGTTGACTTTTTCATTTATTCTTATTTTTATTTACAGATAGAGGAAAAACCAAGGATCAGACTAAATCAAGCCGTTATATTTTTAATATAAAGTTTTCTTGTTATGAAAAAATCCCCAAATAATCGGGGGTTTTGGAGGATATGTTATTTTATTTTCAAAAACCAGAGACCAAGTATTAATAAACACAAAGTTTTTTAAATGAAATAGAAAAAACTATAAAATATGAAACTCTTAATTAATCATTTGAAGCTGTTTCTATTGTTAATGCCCAGCCGAGCCAAAGTAAAGTTTGTTTGTTATATTGATTT